AACACATAATGGAATATTTTCTAACGATTAAAATAATAATTACAGAGAAGAGGCAGAAACAGAAAATATTGTTGACATGCTATCTAGTAAGAAGATCAGAAAACAGTTTAAATTCATTTGATTATATAAAAATGTGCATACCATAGAGGATTATATGGAACTTAAAATGGAAAAATAAACAACTGAGTTGTTAGAGTGGTAACAGAGTAGACAATTCTTTTGATTTTATTTATTTATTTGTTTGTTTATTTATTATTTTGAGACAAAGTTTTGTTTTTGTTGCCCAGGCTGGAGTAAAATGGTGCAATCTCAGCCTACTGCAACCTCTGCCTCCTGGGTTCAAGCAATCTCCTGCCTCAGTCTCCCAAGTAGCTGGGATTACAGGTGTGTGCCACCATGCCTGGCTAATTTTTGTATTTTAGTAGAGAAGAGGTCTCACCACGTTAGCCTGGCTAGTCTCAAACTCCTGACTTCAGGCGATCCATCCACCTTGGCCTCCCAAAGTGCTGGGATTACAGGCATGAGCCACCATGCTCGGCCTGATTTTACTTTTTCAAAAATATGTTTTTTATAATTTTAATGAAAAAATATCTTTTTGGGTGGAATAATATAAATTCACATTCTACCTTTTTGCTTCAAATTCAGCAATTAACTAAGCCCAATTCCAATAAGGAACATGCACATCTTCCTTTTACTGTTCTATTTTTGCCCAACATACCCTCTAATAAAATTGAATTTGACTGAGAAACCATTTCTGTAAGAAGGAGACTTGGTCGCTCAGTTGGAGCATAAAAATGGCTCAAGCAGTTGGATTTTTCCATTAGTTTTTCTGCCTTTTGCCTGCCCTCTGCCTAGCACTCTTCAATCCCAAATCTGTGGTCTAGGAAGCTTGTCTGAACAAGAGGACAGTCCTTAGGCCACTGAGGAGATTGAAGGCTGGGGCTTCTCTGCACTGAAAGGTCCCTGGTAGAGAAGGCAAAAGAAAACTTTTGAAGAGAAGAGAGTGTTAGAAGTGAAGCATGCTGTGCCCCTGTGGAGTCGGACAAGTGGTATCAAAGATGTTCTTTTCTTCCTTCATCTCACACTGTAGTTACAGACTTTGTGGTCTCCATGAGTAAATCTTTGTAGACACATGTTATTTTGGCTTTTATGGAATGAAACTTTTGAATTCTTTATGACAAGAATGTGAATTGGGATTATAGAGTTTGCTTTATCCTGAAAAATTCTATGGAACTGTCCAATTAGTTTGTGCTTTCTACCTATTTTGTGTTGCCTGAGGATGGGACCCTGAGCTAAATGACCTCTCAAATTAATTTCATCCAAAGCTCTTGACATTTAGCTAGGAAATCCCCCACCAGAGAAAATGAGAATACACCAAACTCACTGTTACCCATAATTCGGGATTGCTCCTCATTGGCTTCCATCCAGCTCCCCACCTACCAGCTATGGCCCTTCACCCCCACTAATTTATTCCAAAGGGATCTTAGCCTTTTGTCCAAAATCTGATAAATGAAGGAAAAGGACAAACAATTACAGATTGATAAAGCGACAAACTATTCAACTTCCTAAAATGTCTTATTCCAGCTCCGTTCATGACCTACTTTTGTGAATTTGGCAAGGCGCTTTCTGCTTCCTCTTTCTGAGCCAGTTCTCTGTGCTGTGCAATGAAAAGTTTGGAACAATTGCTTATTAAGATTCCTCACATCTGGTGGTATGGGAAGGGCTGACAAGGACTGTTGACTCCAGTTCTTCCTGGAGACCTGAGCTCCTGCCTACTGCCTTGAGAAACAAATGATGTGGGGCACTCAAAGAACTCAGGCAGGTCTCTGGAAAATCTGATTTTCTTTTCCAACCAGTTGACAACTGCATGGTTATTACGTTTAAGCAATATTCAATATGTGTTTAGTTTTGGATAAAGGCTAGTGTGTTGGCAGGCATGGGCTCTGGTTTAAGTCAGTACCTCTAAGAGGCTTGGGCCATCCTCTTTTTCTTCCTCATTACCTCCTTTACCACTCCTGGTTCGGAGGATGGCTCCTAGCCAGTTTGTGTGACTTTTTCATTTTTTCTAGTATTTTCCTATTTGGTATCCATGCGCCAGGCTGCCCCTTGGAGAAGGAGAGAGAGTCATTCGGGCCCCAAGTTGCTGGGGACTAATTCATACACATAGAGAAAGTATTAGTATCCAGTGACCTGGGCCCCTGGGATGGGCATCCACTCCTGCCACTTTTGTGATCTAGGGAAAGACCATAGAGTAAGGCACTGAAGGCCTGCTAACCCTTCTGCTAGCCAGGGACCAGCCTGGGGCCTCCTCAGGTTTGGCAGGACCTGATCTTTACTGTACACCTGCATGCACGCATACTTAACCCATATTCTCTCACACAAACACGAACAGACAACCCTTGTTTCTAGAATGACAGGAGTGTATGGAGCATAAAAGATCACATGGATCACTTTATTTCTATCTCCAACCTAATACATCAGCCCCATTCAGCATCTCCAATAAGTGTTCATCCAGTCTCCATTTGAACATCATCAAGAACTCAGTTCCATCAGTGGTTGTAGAAGTGATTCAAAGTTTGTTTACCTCCATCCTACCTAAAATCCTGCTATTATATTACCTTGACTTTATCCATGAACACCCAAACTTCAGTATTTTTTAAAATACTAAAAACAAACAAAAACCAAAGCAAAACAAAAAACAAAAACAAAAAGAACTCCCTTGACTTCGCATCCTCTAAACATACTGCTTTATTTTCTCAATCTCCTTCACAGGAATACTTCTCAATAAAGTTAACTGTGGTTGATTTCTCTATTTTTTCACCTACCATTCTGTTTTCATCTTACCCAGCCAGCTGAAGCTTCTCTCATCAATATTATCAACTACTTTCAAATCCAATGTTACAAAACCCAATGGTAACTTTTCTGTTCTTTTCTTATTTGAATTTGCAGTGGCACTCAACACAGCTGACCTCTCTATTCTTGAAGCAGTCTCTTTTCTTGGCTTTTGTGAAACAAAAACTTTATGATTTTCCTCGAGGCACACAATGGCTGCTGTGCCTCAGTTTCTCTTGCTGGATCATCCTCGGCTTGAACTAGAAATGCTGGCATGCTGTAGAGCTTCTTTCCAGGATTTGTGCTTCATTTTCCTTAGATGTTCTATGCCAGTCTTACAGCTCTGAATACTACATATACTCCAAATGTTAGCCCTGGCCATTTCCTACAGCTTCAAAATAATATACACAACTGAATACTTGACATTCCACTCTGATGTCTAATACATATTTGGGCATTTTATTCAAATGCAACCAACCAGCTAAACTAATAGAAAACAAATCCTCAATTTTTGCCTTCCTAATGTGCATTTCCCCAATTATGCTGACTTCAGTAAATGATGTACCATCATCTACCCAGTTGCCCAAGAGAAAATTTAGACTTACCTCGAGCCCTCTCTTTCTTTTCTGGTCTATATCTAATGTATCAGCAAGCTCTATAACTGTACTTCCAAAACAAATCCCAAATTTCTTTTCTCTTTTTCTCTGAGCAATCTTAGTAAAAAAAATACCATCATTCGTCACATGGAGTCTTGCAATAGCTCCTAATCATCATCCCTGATTCTACTTTTGTCCTTCTATAATTAGTGCTCCATAGAGAAGCCAGAGTAATCTTTCAAAACTCTCCCATACCACTGAGAATCAAACACTAATTCCTGACATCATGGTCTAAAACTGACTGTGGGATCTGACTGTGGACAGCCTTTTATACCCATCACTTGCTGAGCTTCAGTCATGCAGACATCTTTCTGTCTACAATTAACTCAAGTTTCTTCTGTGCCAAAGCCTCTGCATTAGCTCTTTCTTCTGACTGGAATGTCCTTCCTTCTGAGGATGGTGGGCTTCTCGATATTCAATATTGGCTTAAACAACACCTACTCCTCTAAAGCTCATGTTGAAGTTTAATTGCCGTTGTATCAGCATTAAGAGGTGGAGCCTTTAAGAGACAATTAGTCCGTAAGAGATGGCTGGGCACAGTGACTCATGCCTCTACTCTTAGCGCTTTGGGAGGCCAAGGCGGGTGGATCATCTGAAGTCAGGAGTTTGAGACCAGCCTGGCCAACATGATGAAACCCCATCTCTACTAAAAATACAAAAATTAGCCAGGCAGAGTGGTGGGCACCTGTAATCCCAACTACTTGGGAGGCTGAGGCAGGAGACTTGCTTGAACCCAGGAGGCAGAGGTTGCAGTGAGCTGAGACCATGCCACTGCACTCCAGCCAGAGCAACAGAGGGAGACTCCGTCTCAGAGGGAGAGAGAGACAGAGAGAGAGATGATTAGGCTCTACCCTCATGATTAATGCTCTTATCATGGAATGGGTTTCTGATAAAAAGAATGAGTTTGGTATGATTTCCCCTCTGTCTCATGTGTATGCTTGCCCTTCCACCAAGTTATATGACACAGCAAGAAGGCCCTCACCAGATGCAACTCCTCAATATTGGACTTCCCAGCCTCCACACTCATGAGTCAAATACATTTCTTTTCTTCATAAATTACCCAATCTATGGTATTCTATGACAGCAGAAAAATGAACTAAGACATTTCAGAAAGAAGCACATGGGTATGCAGAGGTGGAATCAGCTCTGATCACCAGTGGCATTACGAAAATCTCTATCAGGGCCAGGAAGTAAATGCCCAGAAACAGCAGAAAGAGCAGAGCCTGAATGTGAGCATCAGTAGACATCCCAAGAAGGATGAACTCAGAGATAATGCTGTGGTTCCTCATCCTCGAACAGAAAAAAATAAATGTTTTAAAACTTCATTTTCTGCTTCCCTATTTCCTCCAAGTCTTAAATCCTTTTACACATTATTTCTTGACCTTGGAATCAAGGTTCAAATTCTGAACCATCTTCATTAATTCTTTAGACACAATTACATCTTTGATTTTGTTACATTCTATACCCTCAACCTTAGTCCAGTCTGATGCCATTAGGTTTTTTTTTTTAATCTTGTAATTTTAGCTTTTGTTTTAGATTCAGAGGGTAAATGTGCAGGTTTCTTACATGGGTAGATTGTGTGATGTTAAGGTTTGGGGTACGATTAATCCCATCACCAAGGTAGTGAGCATAACACCCAACAGTTAGTTTTTCGACCCTTGTCCCCATTCCCCCACTCCTTCTAGTAGTCCCCACTGTCCATTGTTGCCATCTTTATGTCCATGAGTACCCAATGTTCAGCTGCCACTTATAAGTGAGAACATGAGGTATTTAGTTTTCTGGTCCTGTACTAATTTGCTCAGAATAATGGCCTCCAGCTGCATCCGTGTTGCTACAAATAACAGAATCTCATTCTTTTTTATGGCTGCACAGTATTCCATGGTGTGTATGTGGCATATTTTCTGTATCCAATCCAGCATTGATGGACACCTAGGTTTGCTAGAAAAAAAAATATTTAGATGGAAAACAGACCATAGCATTTGCCAATGCAGGGAGAAACTGCTAATGCATCAGCAAAGGGGATGATTCAAGGTGTGAATTTATTGCAAATGAGAATTCCAAAATGATCCAGAGAATAGTGGAGACCACCTCAGAAATAGAGATTCCTTATCTACTGCAAAATGAAGGAAAGCAAAGTATGTGTAAAGTAGTACAGGAAAGGTAGGAATTTTAGCGTCTGGAAGGGAAGGGCATTCTCTATGTATTGCCTCTGTGCTGTCAACAAAGTGCAAGGTAAGTCATCAATAAGAGTGTGCTAGGCAGGCTAGTGTTGGATTGATGGTAGTGTGGAAGGTCTATTCAATATTTTTATTATAAATTTGAGTTCAGTGGTCATTGTTGTGTGATTTTTCTCCAGTTTGGTATGTGTGAAGAGTAAGTTGCCTTTATGTCAGACATGTGAGGGGATAGAGGGACAGACGACTTAACAAGTGAATTTAGTCTGAGTAAGAAGAGAAGTGAAGATATGAGTGGCATGAGAATGGAAAGATGGCAGACACAAGGATCAGCATTCTCAATGCATGTGAGGAGTGGCTGGCTTGGGAACATCAAATCATATTAATTAGAAAAGGATGTGACTATGTTAGAATAATGTGGTTGAAATTGAGGTTTTTGAAGGTAATGGCTGAGTATGTAAAGGAAACAGGGACACAAGGAATTCCGTTCTTGTTATTTTTATTAAGATGAAAATTTTTCTGTTGTTTAATTTTTTTCTCTTTTAGAAAAGAAGCCACATGATGTTTTTAAAAAATTAATATGTTACAGTTTTAAAATTTAAAAAGTAGAGCCCAGGCCAGGCACGGTGGCTCATGCCTGTAATCCCAGCACTTTGGGAGGCCAAAGCAGGCGAATTACAAGGTCCGGAGTTCGAGACCAGCCTGACCAACATGGTGAATCCCGTCTCTACTAAAAAAACTAAAAAATTATCTGGGTGTGGTGGCGCATGCCTGTAATCTCAGCCACTCAGGAGGCTGAGGCAGGAGAATTGCTTGAAACCAGGAGGCAGAAGTCGCAGTGAGCCGAGATCGCACCACTGCACTCCAGCCTGGGTGACGGAGTGAGACTCCACCTCAAAAAAAAGAGTAGACCCCAAGTAACATAGCCCAGAGATAGCGTCCTTTTCATTTTCTGATAGGTGGACAGAATTAGAGATCATTATAAGAGCAGAAAAATCAATGCTCTGGCATCCATGAAAGTGGGATATTGGTTGAGATGATCTTGTGAGCCACAGGAAACTCAAAATACCTCTTAATGTCCTCTCTTCTATCTTTTCTAGACTGGGCACTGCCAGAATTCTAATTTCAGCTTCACTGAAGTTTTATTACCCTAAAGAAATGCAGACTCTTTGCCCCAAAGACCAGAGAAGGCAGCAGGATATATGAAAATAAAAATGGCCTGGAGGACATCCTTGGGATGAGGTTATAAAGTCCTAGTTCTGTTTCTTACCAGCTCTATGAACTTCGAAAGGGTTTTAAGCCTTTCTTATCTCAATTTTTTTCCAGCCATAAAATGACATGTAACATCTCCGTGACATGGCTTTAAGAATGTATTTTGATAACATGTGCAGTGCTCGGCACAATTAGTCAATTTGTTATTATTAGAATTTGATGCTACCCATTGCCTTAATTGTAATCCTTCCATGTTCCCAAGCAAAAGAAAAGTCAACCCTGAGAGCAGATAAGAACATGTTAGTGAATAGATAAATAAAAACAAGATCAAAGAGGGATGGATGGAAATGGGGGATAGGGGAGAATGACCCCACTATGAGAGCAGAGCTGCAGGAGAGCTCAATGGCAAAGAATGTACAGAAGAGGGGAGACGTGGAGGAGAGGAAGGGATAAAAAGAAGTGATAAGTGCCGAAGGAGCTGGTCAGAGATATCAAGGAAGAACTAACTCTTGTCGTCCCCAATGGAGAGAGGCTCCAGGTACTCGGACCCATTAACAAATGCCCCAATAAACCTTCACACAGGTGGAAAAGAACAACAACTATATTTCTCTAGGAACAGACTTCTTTCATCTATCTAGATCTCAATATTAGAAAAAAGAAATATGTGCCAGGAGTCTTCCAGGTAAAGAGCTCAAAACCCTTTTCTAGATTCTTCTAATCTTGTGCTGAATCCAAAGAAAAGAGAAATATAATTTTGAGAAGTTCTGATTCTTGACAAATAGATATGTGAGCAGTTGTTCAGACTATTTCAAACACGATTCTACAGTTGGTTTTTTTTTCGCTACTTTCTTTTATTGATCTAAATATTATTCCCAAAATGTGATGCAAATAAAGACTTCTAAAATCCAGCCATTCAGAAAAGCAGCTAGCTGATAATACCCAGTGGGTGGGCAGCTAAGCCTGCCGGCCCAGGAGGGAACTGAGTTGATGCTTGCATTCCTTGGGGTTCAGCCAGAAGCAAATTTTTGACCTCATTATCTTGGAAATTTCCTTGTATATGTGTATGTATTGACCAAGACAGCCTTAGCATTCACCTCAGTTTGACTAAACTTTGGACAGGTCTCTTCCTAAGTATAAGCCTTAGTTATCCTTTTCTTAGAGCATTTACTTTAGAAAACTTGAAATTGCAAATTCTCTTTCTGCTTCTTTGAAATATATGTAAATATTCTCCAATCCTCTTGCCAGTTTTACAACCCAGGGAATAATCTTTCGTAAGGACCTGGGAACCATCTCTTTGAAATGCAAACACTGAAGGAGAAAGCATCTCTATCTCCCAGTCACTGTGGGAGGATAGAAGCATAACTTAGATGCCACTTCGTAAACACAGATGGCCTAATCACAGAGAAAAATGTAGCAAACTCAGGAATAACTTAATGTGGTGGACGCATTCCATTGACCAACTTCCCTGCTAATGTCGTCCAGTACTTTTCTAAATGATTACCCCAGTGCTGAAAAACTCCCGTCTTTGATTTCCGAGGAGTTGACTTTAATCTCTCTCTCTGCTATTGCAGTAGTCTTGAATAAAGTCTTCCTTGCCTGTTTAATATGTCTGGTGCCATATATAGTATAGTATGTACTGATGGATGGATTTAATTTCAACTCATGCACAGAAGACCAAGTTAAACAACATTTCTTAGTTCATAGCACTTCATCATCCTTGTTCATTTAAAGGCTTTACTCTTCACCAGTTTCCTTTTAAACTCATATTCTATTTCTATTCCTCTCCTCCCCACAGGCACCTTTTCTAAGATGTTTAATTCTTATCCTTTGTCTATATGTCATATTAGTCCATTCTTGCATTGCTATAAAGAAATACCTGAGCCTGGATAATTTATATTTTTTAAAAAAGAGGTTTAATTGGCTCACAGTTCTGCAGGGTGATAATGCTGATCATCTACTTGGCTTCTGGGAAGGCCTCAGAAAACTTACAATCATGGCAGAAGGCAACATGGGAACAGGCGTCTTACATGGAAGCAGCAGGAGAAGAGAGAGAGCAGGGAGGTGCCACCCATTTTTCAACAACAAGATAGCAATGACAGCTCCAAGAGGGGTGGTGTGAAACCATGAGAAACTGCCCCCAGGATCAAATTACCTCCCACTAGGCCCCACCTCCAACATTGGGAATTACAGTTGAACATGAGGTTTGGGTAGGGACACAGATCCAAACCATATGATATGCATTCTTTTTCTTTTCTTTGTTTTTTAAGATGGAGTTTCACTCTGTTGCCCAGGCTAGAGTGCAATGGTGCAATCTCTGCTCACTGCAACCTTCATCTCCCAGGTTCAAGCAATTCTCCTGCCTCAGCCTCCCTAGTAGTTAGGGCTACAGGTGCACACTACCATTCCCAGCTAACTTTTGTATTTTTAGTAGAGACAGAGTTTCACCATATTGGCCAGGCTAGTCTTGAACACCTGACCTCAGGTGATCTGCCCACCTTAGCCTCCCAAAGTGCTGGGATTACAGGCATGAGCCTCCATGCCCAGCCAGCATTCTTGAATTATTGTTGCGAGTGGTTGCTTTTTTTTTTTAATGCAAAAATGAAACTGTTATATGAACACTAGGAAATGAGTAAATTATATATATTTGGTGTTGATATGTTAATTTGCCAAGAACAATCCAAGAGACTCTAAAAACAAAACTAAGAGAACTAATAAGAATTAAAAAGAGTTTTGTAATGTGGATAGTGCATCTATTAATGTTCAATTAGCAGAAAATAGAATCCACTCAAAGAAAAAAAATGATTTAAAAGCGTAAATGTTGTATTAAATAATAATTGTGAGAAGGGTTAAAAGAGGAGACTCTATTCTCGGATTCTCTAATGAATATCCTTGCACTGAGAATAGCTTTGCTTCTGTTGAAAAAAAATACTGATAACAGCAGTGCAGGAAGTTGATGAATCAGGGAGCTGCTATTGCTACTGCTGACTGCAGGACTTCTAGACATCTGTCACCATTGTAACAACACCTGCTGGATGGAGATGCCAAATGCTGAATTAGGAAATATTTGCTACGGTTTCTGCTTAAGAACTATTTCTTTTCGTCAGGATTTATATGAGCAAAATGCACCTGACTAATTGGAACTAAATTATATTGGGAGGCCATGCTTTTTAGCTTTCTACACTTTGAACTCTAGAGGGTAGTGGAATAAACTTGAATGACTCAATCTAGTATCTTCTACACTGAGTACAAGATGAGTACACAAAACTTGACAGTTTTTCCTGTGCTAGAAATTGTCATATCATGGAAACAGGAAAACATACTCATTCAGAATGGAAAAAAAAAAAAACCCTCTAAAGTTCTTAGAGGAAACTTTTACAAGAAAAGTGAATATTTCTTTAAATGACATAATATATGAAGAGACTGAGAAACAATGTTTATGATTGGAAAGACAGTGAAGATATCAATTTTCTTCAAATGTATATGTGCAACAGATAAGAATTTAATTAGAATCCTATTTTTCATGATTTGATAAGAAGATTTTGATATTCACTTGTAAGAATAAATTCTTGAGAATAGACAAGAAAGGGATGAAAAGGATCACTATTTAAAGCATTTTGAGAAGACTTCTTTTACCAGGTATTAGAACAACTAATACATTTTATAAAGAAAAGCCTAAATTAATATAAAATGGTAAACCCAGACAGAGTTGCCAAACTATGTCATGAAGATTTTATTTCTCTTCTATGAAGAAGGAACAACTTTCTTGCAAATGCATCTGTCACAGGTGGCCATATATTCATAACACAGAATAGTTTACATCCATCTCATGCAGTTTGCAATAATTTCTGAGTTGTTTTAGTTTTATATGAGAAGGTATTAGAAGAGAACGTGTAGACAACGCACACTTATGACGTGAGGAAGAACTTCTCAGCCAGGCTAGGAAATTTACATAGGAAATTCTATAATAAAAAGTGTATTTGACTACATAAAATTAAAATTTTGAATGACAGAAATTCCACAAGCAAAGTTAATAGAGAAATAATAGAGCTGGAAAAATATTTTCAACAAATATCACAGGAAAGAGATGAGATATCTGACAATCCGAGAATACTTATATGTAGTTAAGCAAAATACGAATGCTGCAAAGAAGAAGTAGAAGATGAGTATAAGCAAACCACAGGAATGTAACATCAAATGGTTCACAAAAGATGAAAATATGCAGAAATTCAGTAGCAGTCATAGAAATAAAAATTATCATTGATTTGTACCCATCTGGATGCCCCCAAATTTAAAAAGAATAAAGTCATTCAGTCTGAGCTAAATAGCACCCTAGCTTTATCTATTAAAATCGAATGTAGTGATGTAGTAATGTACTTTGTTTTCTTGCTAGTATATAGAAATATGATTGCTTTTTAATGTCTTGTACTTTGTACCTTGTGACTGCTAAACTGACTAGTTCTATTAACTTTTTGTAAATTTCTTAAATTTTCTCCATTAATTTACTAATAGAGTGTTACTCTTTTCATTTCATTTACTCTTTTCATTTCAATCTATCTATCTTTTTTTCTCTTGCCTTAACTATACTGGCCAGAGCTACACTACAGTCTTGGATAGAAGTGGTGAAAACAGGCATCCTTGCCTTGTTCTCTAAGAGGGAAAACACTGTGTTTTTTCCTTTAAATATCATGGTAGTTCTCAATTTTTTAAATATATATGTCCCTTTACAAGTTAAGGGTGTTCTCATCTATTCTTAGTTTGTGAGTTTTTTTCCTTTTAAGTGAAAGATAAACATTATCAAAGGCTTTTTCTGCATCTGTTTAGATGATCATATGCTTTTCTTTTGTGGTCTAATAATGCAGTGAATTACATTGTGTGATTTTAGAATGCTAAGAGCAACCTTGCATTCTTGGGGTAAATCCCATCTTGTCATGAAATGTTACTGATTTAAATATTGCTGGATGTTACTTGATGATGTTGAGATAATAAGTTTTGCATGTATATTCATGAGAATATTTGTTCAATTTGTTCAGAGTTTTCTATTCTTGTATGTTTTTGTCTGGTTTGGGTATCAGAATCTTACGAAGTGAATTAGGAAATATATCTCTGCTTCTATGTTTTGGAAAATTTGGTTTATAATTAGTATTCTTTCTTTCTATTAATGTTTGTTAAAATTAACCATGAGGCCATCCGGACCTGGAGTTTTCTTCATGAGAAGTTTTTAAGTAAAAATTCAACTTTTTTATGTTCACTAGAATGGTTTTAAATGAAAAATATCTTCGATCCAAATATCAGCAAGGATTTGGAGAGCAATTGAAATCCTCATATATTGCCAGTTGGAATACAGAATAGTACAGATGCTTTGGAAAGTAGTTAGGCAGTTTCTTATAGAGTTAAGCACATATGTACGATGTGGCACAACAATTTCACTCATAGGTATTTAAAGATAGATGATCACATATGTCTTCACAAAGACATCTACTCATATATGTGTATGGTGGAATGAATAAATATACCAACATCACCATGCTAAGGGAAAGAACCCAGACACAAATGACTACCTTATTTTGATTCCATTTATGTGGAATTATAGGAAAATAAAAACTATAGTCATAGGAAGTTGATCTGTGGTTGCCAAGAGCCAAGCAGTGGGAGGAGGAAACAATCTGTTGTAATGGAGATGTTCAGTATTATGATTGTCGTGGTGATTAATACATATATGCATTTGTCAAAATGATCAAATTTTAGTGATCAATGATCACTAAAAATTGGTGAATCATATGTAGGTTATATCTCAGTGAAGCTTATTTAAAATAAAAAAAGCAATTTTTTAAACTTTTATTTTAGGTTCAGGGGTACATGTGCAGGTTTGTTATACAGGTACACTTGTGTCACAGGGATTGTATACAGATTATTTCATCACCCAGGTAATAAGCCTAGTACCTAATAGTTATTTTTCCGATCCTCTCCCTCCACCCATCCTCCATCTTCAAGTAGGCCCCAGTGTGTGCTGTTCCCCTTTGTGTCCATGTGTTCTCATCATTTAGCTCCCATTTATAAGCAAAAACATGCAGTATTTGGTTTTCTGTGTTAGTTTGCTAAGGATAATGGCCTCCAGCTCCACTCATGTTCCCATAAAGTATATAATCTCTCTCTTTTTTATGATTCCATAGTATTCCATGGTGAATATGTACCACATTTTCTTTATCCAATCTGTCACTGATGGACATTTATGTTGATTCTATGTCTTTGCTCTTGTGAATATAAGAACTTCTTCAGATGTACAGTGTGCACATGTCTTTATGGTAGAATAATTTCTATTCCTCTGGATACATATCCAGTAATAGATTTCTAGTTCAAATTGTAGTTCTATTTTTAGCTATCTGAGGAATCACCACACCGCTTTTAACAATGGTTGAACTAACTTACACTCCTACCAGCAGTGTATATTAGCATTCCCTTTTCTCTGCAACCTCACCAGCGTCTGTTATTTTCTTACATTTTAGTAGCAGTCATTTTGACTAGTGTGAGATGGTATCTCATTGTGGTTTTGATTTTCATTTCTCTAATACTGAGCTTTTTCTCATATACTTGTTGGCCACATGTATGTCTTCTATTGAAAAGTATTGGTTCATATCTTTTGCCCATTTTTTAATTGGGTTATTTTTTCTTGTGAATTTGTCTAAGTTCCTTATAGATGCTGAATATTAGAACTTTGTCAGATGTATAGTTTGCAAATATTTTCTCCCATTCTATAGGTTATCTGTTTACTCGGTTGATATGTTATTTTGCTGTGCAAAGGTTCTCAAGTGTAATTAGATCCCACTTGTCCATTTTTGCTTTTGTTGCCATTGTTTTTGGCATCTTTATTATGAAATCTTTGCCAGTTCCTATGTCCAGAATGGTATTGCCTAGGCTGTCTTCCAAAGTTTTTTTTTTTTTTTTTTTTTTACTTTAAGTTCTCGGGTACATGTCCAGACCTTACAGGATTGTCACATAAGTATACACATGCCATGGTGGTTTGCTACATCCATCCCCCCATCACCTATATTAAGTATTTCTCCTAATGTTATCCCTCCCCAATCTCCTCACTCCCTGCTATTCCTCCCCCAGCTCCCCATTCCCAAACAGACCCTAGTAAGTGATGTTCCCCTCCCTGTGTCCATGTGTTCTCATTGTTTAACACCCACATATGAGTGAGAACATGCAGTGTTTGGTTTTCTGTTCTTGTGTCAGTTTGCTGAGAATCATGGTTTCTAGCTTCATTCGTGTCCCTGCAAATGACATGAACTCATCCTTTTTTATGGCTGCATGGTATTCCTTGGTATATATGAGCCACATTTTCTTTATCCAGTCTACCATTGTTGGGCATCTGGGTTGGTTCCAGGTCTTTGCTATCATAAAACAGTGCCGCAATGAACATACATGTGCATGTGTCTTTATAACAGAATGATTTATAATCCTTTGGGTATATACCCAGTAATGGGATTGCTGGGTCAAACAGTGTTTCTATTTCTAGATCCTTGAGGAATCACTACACTGTCTTCCACAATGGTTGAACTAATTTATGCTCCCACCAACAGTATAAAAGTGTTCCTATTTCTCCACATCTTCTCCAGCATCTGTTGTCTCCTAATTTTTTAATGATTGTCATTCTAACTGGTGTGAGATGGTATCTCAATGTGGTTTTGATTTGCATTTTTCTAATGACCAGTGATGATGAGCATTTTTTCATATGTTTGTTGGCGTCATATATGTCTTCTTTTGTAAAGTATCTGTTCATATCCTTCGCCCACTTTTGAATGGGATTGTTTGTTTTTTTCTTGTATATTTGTTTTAGTTCTTTGTAGATTCTGGATATTAGTCCTTTGTCAATAGCCAATTACCCCAGCACCATTTATTGAATAAGAAATCCTTTCTCCATTGCTTCTTTTTGTCATCTTTTCGAAGATCAGATAGTTGTAGGTTTGAGGTCTTCTTCCTAGGTTCTCTGTTCTGTTCCATTGGTCTTGTGTCTGTATTTTATAACAGTACCATGTTGTATTGGTTACTGTAGCCCTGTAGTATGGTTTGAGGTCAAACCATGCCTCCAACTTTGTTCTTTTTGCTTTTAGGATTGTCTTGGCTATTTGGGCTCCTTTTTGGTTCCCTATGAATTTTTAAATAGTTGCTTCTATTTCTGTAAAGAATGTCATTGGTAGTTTGATGGGAATAGCATTGAATTTGTAAATTCCTTTAAGCAATGTAGTCATTGTAATGATATTTATTCTTCCTATCCATGAGCATGGAATGTTTTTCCATTTGTTTCTGTCATCTCTGATTTCTTTGAGCAGTGTTTTGTAATTCTCACTGTAGAGACCTTTTACCTCCCTGGCTAGTTATATTCCTAGGTATTTTGTTCTTTGTGGTAACTGTGAGTAGGATTGCATTGCTGATATGGCTCTCAGCTTGGCTGTTGTTGGTGTATAGGAACTTCGACTCCTTGAAGTTAATAACTGAACAATTTTACCAATACAAATACCCATCCGTATGTTAGTTTCATCTGAAGACGTCTTACACTCAAAAACTATTCCTTCATTAGGCCTCAAAACAGATGCAATCCCCAGATGCTTCAACCAAACTACCTTAACTGCTATATGACCAGGCCTATACTATGGGCAATGTTCAGAAACTTGTGGGTCCAACCACAGTTTCATGCCTATTGTCCTAAAATTAACTCCCTTAAAACATTTCAAAACTTGATCCACATCCACACTTTAATATCACTATAAGCTACCCAGCATTAACCTTTTAAGTTAAAGATTGAAAGGATCTGTACCTTTCTGCTGTGAATGCCCCAACTAGATACTTCCTCATTATTCATTGTAATTCTGTCAATAGTCATAACTTTATTCTCCATTATTCAATTAAAATTATTAAAGTTTATTTATTATACACCCCCTACACCAAAAATAGTCAAAACACAAAAACATAAAAAACTCTGAGAATTAAAATGAACGAAAACCTATTCACTTCTTTTATTACCCCAACAATTCTAGGTCTTCCTGTAGTAGTATTAATCATTTTGTTTCCTACCACACTAATTTCAACCTCTAGTAATTTAATTAGCAATCAATTAATTTCCATTCAACAATGATTAATTCAACTTATACTAAAACAAATAATCATTGCCCATAATATTAAAGGATGAACGTGATCCCTTATACTGATACCTCTAATTCTCTTTATTGCCTCAACCAATTTCCTTTGGCTTCTACCCTATTTATTTACATCAACTACTCAACTATCAATAAATTTAGGTATAGCAATCCCCTTATGAGCAGGCGCAGTAATCACAGGATTCCACTTTAAAACAAAAATATCCCTAGCTCATTTTTTGCCACAAGGCACACTATAGTTTGTACACTGATTTTGTGTCCTGAAACTTCACTAAAGTTGTTTCTCAGCTGAAAGAGCTTTTGAGCCATGCCCACGGGGTTTTCTAGATACATAATCATGTAGCCTACAAACAGCAATAGTTTGACTGCTTCTCTTCCTGCTTAGATGCCCTTTATTTCTTTCTCTTGCCTGTTTTCTTTGGCCAGGACTTCCAATGCTATGTTGAACAGGAGTGGTGAGAGAGGGCATTGTTGTCTTGTGCCAGCTTTCAAAAGGAATCTTTCAAGCTTTTGCCCATTCGGTATGATGTTGGCTGTGGGTTTGTCATAGATGGCTCTATTTATTTTGAGGTATTTTCCCTTGATGCCTAATTTATTGAGGGTTTTTAACATGAAGAAATGTTGATATTTATCAAAAGCCTTTCCTGTATCTATTGAGATAATCATACGATTTTTGTCTTTAGTTCTGTTTATGTGATGAATCACATTTATTGATTTGCATATGTTGAACCAACTTTGCATCCAGGAATAAAGCCCACTCAGTCATGGTGGATTAGCTCTTTAATGTGCTGCTGGATTCAGTTTGCCAGTATTTTGTTGAAGATTTTTGCATCAGTGTTCATCAAAGATATTGGCCTGAAACTTTCTCTGTTTGTTGTGTCTCTTCCAGGTTAAAAAAGACAAAGAGGGACGTTATATAATGGTAAGTAGCCTTGTCCAATAGGAAAATATTACAATCCTAAACATATATGCACCTAACAAGGGAGCTCCCAAATTTACAAAGCAATTGCTACTAGTCCTAAGAAATGAGATAGTAACACAGTAATAGTGGGAGACTTCAATATTCCACTGACAGCAATAGACAGGTCATCAAGACAGAAAGTCAACAAAGAAGCAATGGATTTAAACCATACCTTGGAACAAATGGACTTAACAGATATATACAGAACATTCCATCCAAGAACCGCAGAATACACATTCTATTCAACAGTGCATGGAACTTTCTCCAAGATAGACCATGTGATAGGCCACAAAACCAGCCTCAATAAATTTAAGAAAATTGAAATTATATCAAGCAGTCTCTCAGACCACAGTGGAATAAAACTGGAAATCAACTCCAAAAGGAAACTTCAAAACCATGTAAATACATTGAAATTAAATAACCTGCTCCTGAGTGATCATTTGGTCAAAAATGAAATCAAGATGGAAATTTAAACATTTTTCAAAGTGAACAACAATAGAATAGTGACACCACCTATCAAAACCTCTGGGATACAGCAAAGGCAGTCCAAAGAGGAAAGTTCACAGCCCCAAACACCTAGATCAAAAAGACTGCAAGAGCACAAACTGACAATGTAAGGTCACACCTCAAGGAACTAGAGAAACAAGAACAAATCAAACTCAAACCCAGCAAAAGAAAAGAAATAACCAAGATCAGAGCAGAACTAAATGAAATTGAAACAAAAAAATATAAAAGATAAATGAAATGAAAACCTGGTTCTTTGAAAAGATAAAATTGATAGCCCATTAGCAAGATTAACCAAGAAAAGAGAGAAAATCCAAACAACCTCAATAAGAAATGAAACAGGAGATATTATCACTGACACCATAGAAATACAAAAATCATTTAAGATTACTATAAACACGTTTACACACATAAACCTGAAAACCTAGAATAAATGGATAAATTCCTGGAAAAACAAAACCCTCCTAGCTTAAATCAGGAAGAATCAGATACCCCAAGAAGACCAATAACAAGCAGTGAGATTGAAATTGTAATTTAAAAATTACCAACAAAAAGCTTATCTATAATGATCAAGTAGGCTTCATCCCGGGGATGCAAGGCTGGTTCAACATACGCAAGTCTATAAACGTAATTCACCACATAAACAGAACCAAAGACAAAAACCACAATTATCTCAATTGATGCAGAGAAGGCCTTCAACAAAATTCAACAGCCCTTTATGCTAAAAACCCTCAATAAACCAGGTATTGACAGACTGTATCTCAAAATAGTAAAGGCTATTTACGACAAACCAACAGCCAATATCATACTGAATGGGCACAACCTGGAAGCATTCCCTTTGAAATCTGGCACTAGATAAGGATGCCCTCTCTCACCACTCCTATTCAATATAGTATTGGAAGTTCTAGCCAGAGCAATCAGGTAAGAAAAAGAAATAAAGGGTATTCAAATAGGAAAGGAAGAAGTCAAATTGTCTCTATTTGCAGATGACATGATTGTGTATCTAGAAGACCCCATTGTCTCAGCCCAAAATCTCCTGAAACTATAAGCAACTTCAGCAAAGTCTCAGGATACAAAATCGATGTGCAAAAATCACAAGCATTTCTATACACCAATAACAGACTTAAAGAGAGCCAAATCAAGAATGAACTGCCATTCACAATTGCTACAAAGAGAATAAAATACCTAGGAATACAACTAACAAGGAACATAAAGGACCTCTTCAAGGAGAACTACAAGCCACTGCTCAACAAAATAAGAGAGGACACAAACACATGGAGAAACATTCCATGTTCATGGTTAGGAAGAATCAATATCGTGAAAATGGCCATACTGCCCAAAGCAAATTACAGATTCAACGTTATCCCCATCAAGCTACCAATGACCTTCTTCACAGAACTGGAAAAAAAAACACCTTAAACTTCATATGGAACCAAAAGAGAGCCCACATAGCGAAGTCAATTCTAAGCAAAAAGAACAAAGTCTGGAGGCATCACACTACCAGACTTCAAACTATACTACAAGGCTACAGTAATCAAAACAGCATGGTACTGGTACCAAAACAGAGATATAGACCAATGGGACAGAACAGAGGCCTTGGAGGCAAAACAACATATCTGCAACCATTCAATCTTTGACAAACCAGACAAAAACAAGCAATGGGTAAAGGATTCCCTGTTTAATAAATGCTGTTGAAAAAACTGGCTGGCCATGTGCAGAAAGCAGAAATTGGAACCCTTCTTGACACCTTACACTAAAATTAACTCCAGATGGATTAAAGACTTAAACATAAGACTTAACACCATAAAAACCCTAGAAGAAAATCTAGGCAAAACCATTCAGGACATAGGTGTAGGCAAGGACTTCATGACCAAAACACCAAAAGCATTGACAACAAAAGCCAAAATAGACAAATGGGACCTAATCAAACTCCACAGCTTCTGCACACAAAAGAAACAGTCATTAGAGTGAATCAGCAACCAACAGAATAGGAAAAAAATTTTTGCAGTCTACGCATCTGACAAAGGGCTGATATCCAGAATTTACAAAGAACTAAAACAGATTTACAAGAAAAAAACAAGCCCATTCAAAAGTAGGTGAAGGATATGAAGACACTTTACAAAAGAAGACATACATGAGGCCAACAAACATATGAAAAAATGCTCATCATCACTGGTCATTAAAGAAATGCAAATCAAAACTACATTGAGATACCATCTCACGCCAGTTAGAACGGCGATCATTAAAAAATCTGGAGATAACAGATGCTGAAGAGGATGTGAAGAAATAGGAACACTTTTACACTGTTGGTGGGAGTGTAAATTAGTTCCACCACTGTGGAAGACAGTGTGGCGATTCCTCAAGGACCTAGAAATAGAAACTTCATTTGACCCAGCAATCCCATTACTGGGTATATATCCAAAGGATTATAAATCCTTCTACTATAAGGACACATGCACACAAATGTTCATTGCAGCACTGTTTACAATAGCAAAGACCTGGAACCAACCCAAATGCCCATCGATGATAGACTGGATAGGGAAAATGTGGCACATATACACCATGGAATAAATATTATGCAGTCATCAAAAACAATGAGTTCGTGTCCTTTGTAGGGACATGGATGAACCTGGAAACCATCATTCTCAGCAAACTGACACAAGAACAGAAAATCAAACACTGCATGTTCTCACTCATAGGCGGGTGTTGAACAATAAGAACACATGGACACAGGGAGGGGAGCATCACACACTGTGGTCTGTTGGGGGGAAGTAGAGGAGGGACAACGGGGTGTGGGGAGTTGGGGAGAGATAGCATGGGGAGAAATGCCAGATATAGGTGAAGGGGAGGAAGGCAGCAAATCACGCTGCCATGTGTGTACCTATGCAACAATCTTGCATGTTCTTCACATGTACCCGCAAACCTAAAATGCAATAAAAATAAAAAATTAAAATTA